CAATATTGTACGATTTTAAACTTAGATTTAACTAATTTTCCTAATACAAGTGTACATTACACATCACTAGTTCAGGTGCTGTCAGGAAGTTGAAAATCAACGGATTTTCCCTGTTTTTACACTTCCTGGCTTTAATAAATGGTCTAATTTATGCATTTTTTAAAACATGATATGCATTTTAAATCCACCAGCTTGTTTTGGGGTTCACAGGGTTAACACACAACTAATTCTCTGCAAAAAAAAGAAGCCAATTATTCTATTTCCCCAAGAAGTCAAACTATTCATTAACGCTTGCTGCATAAAAAAAAAAAAAACAACACTCCTAAAGTGTGACAACTCAGTTTGTACAAAGCAAACACAAAACTAAAGCAGTGAAAACAAGCGAGTGAACCACAGAGCTGATAATTCGCTGCACTCTCTCCATGGAGCCAATTTATCTCCAGACCAATTTTAACTTCGCCAGCTATTGTGACCAGTGGAGCAAATAGATTGTTTGGAGGCCTGGACCCCGTCATTCGTCCCCCTTCGCGCTCACACACACACACGGATACGTACCCACTGGTGTAGACGGGGGTGTTGCGAACCAGAACAGGAGGCACGGTGTGGTATTTGATGATGATGGCGATGGTCAGGTAGGTCGCAGCCAGAGTGCCCAGAACACTGAGAGGGGACAGAGACGAAACAGCGGCTTCAGACAAACACCGGGACATTTACGTCAAAGCGAAACGGACGGATGGATTACTGGGAACGGAGCGCAGAGGGCGGCGCTCTTAATGGGGTCACGTCAGCTGCACATTTATCCGCACAGAGGCACGTCGGAGTGGAAGAAATGCAGAAAATTCAGCACTGCTGCTTGTAAAATGACCTAAAAGCTGAATAAACGCCTCTATAAAACAGTTATAATCTTCATGAAGGGCAGCGATTGTGTAGAATATGTAGGTTTTGAGCGCAAATGTTCATTTATGACCTTGTAATTTGCACCAGTGATGGAAGAAGCTTTCAGGTACTTTAAGTAAAAGCAACAGAAATGTAAAAATACTCTATTACAAGTAAAAGTACTGCATGAAAAATACTAGAATTAGCAGCAAAATGTAGTTAAAGCATTAAAGTAAAAGTCTAGGTTTGTAAGTCTGATTGAAATTGTCTTATATGTGGCATCGTCATCGTTATTAATACTGAAGAGTGTCGGAGCAGGTTTCTGTTGGAGCTGCTGCAGGTTTGAACCACTTTACATCCTTTTTTATATGCAGGCACAGCAGATAAATCTCCAAACATGATTAATGGGAGAATAAAGAAGAAAACAACAACTTTAAATCCACAAATCTGTTTCCAATTGTTGGACTTTTTTCCTCTGATCTTTGGTTTTCGGTGAGATATGGGATCATCGAACATTTGAGAAGTTTAGAAGAAAAAAAAAATCACTATTTGGTGTTAACAATCTGAAATGTGAGCTGGACTACACAATACAAACGTTGAGTTTAATCTGTGTCTATGTGCTGGATTTTTAAAAGCTCGGTATCTTCCAAGTAACCAAAGCTGTCAGATTAATATCGTGGAGCAGAACGCACAATATTTCCTCTTGAACTGTAGCAAAGTGGAAGCAAAAATGGAAATACTCAAGTATAGGTACCTGAAAATGTAGTGAACAAGTACAATACTTGAGTAAATGTAGTTACTTTTGCCCACAACATGTGGTTGAAGGGTTTAAGTGGACCTTGTGAGGAGAATTCGTCTTCGTTTCATTAAGGTGTATCTAATAAACTGGAAACTGTACTTGGGCCAAGAGATCAAGGTTGTCATAAAGGAGAAAAAGTCATTAATTCCATTTACTGGTAGGCTGCTCATCACATCATGATGGCTGGCTGGATATGAGCTTTGTTTTTAATTTGACATTTTGGCCTTTGGGTGGCACCACAGGAAAGTTTTTGAAATGTCTAAAATAGAGGCCACATGTCCTCCGATGCATGTAGAGTTTGTCTTGTGCACAAATGGTGAATGTAAGGTTTAGGCTCCACTATATCATAAGAAGCTATTAGTTTTAATTAGAGTTATTATGGATAAAATGTTGGTCAAGGGGAAGTTTTGGCCTCATGGTGGAGCTAAATAAAAACCCACATGGTCAACAAAACGTCTCATATTCAGCCTGTCGCAGCAGGAAATGGAAACACTAAGTTTGATGCACATCTGCCCAGTAGTTGTTGTGTTGTCTGTCAATTAAACAGCACAATCCAGATCAAATTAAACTACTAAAGCTGCTACCACATGCCACACATGGCTGCAACTTACCATTTTCACTGCCGATTAATCTGTTGATTATTTTCTCAATTAATCAGTGTGGTGCTTAGTCAATAAAATGTTTAAAAAATGGCGAAAATGGATTCGTTTTGTCCACAAAACAAAGATATTCAGTTGACTGTCACATAGGAGGAAAGAAACCGGAAAGTATTCACATTTAAGAAGTGAGAATCTTGGCTTTTTTTCTTCTTCAAAAATTAGTCAAACGATTAATCGAATGTCAAAATAGTCGATGATGGATTCAGTAGCTGAATGATGAACACCTGACCTGATGTATTTCTGGATGCTGATCTCTTTGGAGATGGACAGTGGCAGGATGAGGAAGGCGCAGAGCAGCACCAGGCCGAACCGCTGGTCGGTGTAGAAGTGATACGGCATCTCGGACTTCGGCAAACCGGTCACCAGCTCGTACAGGGATTCACACACTGACGGACACAAGGCAGATACACAAGAACACACACAGAATAATCTAGTGATTATTTTCTCAAATGTTCAATCATGTGTTTAGTCTAAAAAAAAAGTCATAAAATGTTGAAAAATGTTTCACAAAGCCCAAGACGACAAATGTCTACTGTTGTCCACAAACTGATGACGTGCAGTCAAAGGGAAAAGAAACCAGGAAATATTCAGATTCAAGAAGCTGGAAGCAGACAATATGCACTTCTGTTGAACAAAAATGACTCAAAAATAAATTAATGATTATCTGTCAGATTGCAGGTTGCAAAAACCATCGAGTTTAACTCAAACCTCTCCAACTCACACTTCTCCAGCTGGTCGTCCACGACCACCAGGAAGGCCACGGAGATCATGAAGAGGTTGAAGACGAAGCAGATCTCACAGAGCTGCCCGATGGCCGGACCGCACACCTCCTTCACCACCGCCTGATAGGTGCACTGACCGCTGATGGACGACGAGTAGCCGAGGATGATCAGGCCGCTGACCAGGAACACCAGCGAGATCTGAGCAGAGGAGGAAAGGCCAGAAAATGGAGCTCAGAGACGACACGCTTAAAGAATCTTTCACCAAAACTGAGTCCAATAGAAAACGCTTTAAAGCAAAAACTAACTTCCATGTGATGTGCAGGTCGACTGAACAACATCCAACAGTCATTTTCTGTTTGCCTGCACACATCTCTGGTCAGTCTTTTGGTTGTCCCTCATTTAAATGTCCAGTTTTGATGAATAACAGCAGCGACAGTAATACAATCACTGAATGCCTGAGCGGATGTGTGTCATTTAGTGGCCGCAAAGCAGTGTGACAAGTCTGTTTAATGAAAAGTACCGAGAGAACGAAGCTAATCACAGTGAAAAATGACACAAAGGAAAACCAGCGAGGACAGACGCCCGTTTAAAGGGTCGCCTATGGGGACATGAAAACAGAAAGCTACAACATGGATCTACAGTATAGCTTTGTGTGATGGCTGTGGATGAGAACTGACAGGCCGAACTGAACCATAATATCCTGTTATGGAAGATCATAGCGTGGCCACACATACACCAGCGGTTATGCAAACGAAGCCTGTAGAAATCTGAGGTTAAAACACCTGATAGGACTTTAAAAAAGAACAAACAAGAGTCCATGATCCAGTTAATCTCAGTCAAGAGTCCAGTCAGGTATTTAAAAGCACTGTAATGTAACAGTTAAGACCTGAACTAAGAGAAAAAAAAACTCCTGAATCACATCTTTGATCTCGTTTGGCACCAACGACACCATCCAGGAAATGTTTGGGGAGATTATATAGAAGAAATCAGAAACCTTTAACTGTGCCAGTGAGTTAAATAGACTACTTTTGAATGGTGAAATAGATTAAATATGTAATATGTATATGCTGTTGTCTATGTTTAAAGGATGCTCTGTGTGCTATAATATCATTTTACAGTCACAAGCTTGCAAAACTCAAGATATACAAGTTGCTATTCGTCTAGG